CCCCAAAACCCCAAAACCCCAAAACCCCATGATAGAAGAATTAAAGTAATTCAGAGTTATAAAAATCAATTAAATATTCATCATCAATTGTAATTTATACGTATTAATTATTTCTTCTTTAATTGATTTCTATCAAAAGCAAATATACGTAGGATAAATCAATTATTTTTCTCACTCAGACTTTTTGAATCTGATTTTTGAGAGGACAATATTTTTGGAGATTCACCACTAATATGATTATTGAAAGAGGAAAAGCCTTTACTATATTAGGAACTTTTATTCAGATTAATCTTCTTTTCCTCATCTGATGTGTAATCTTATAGTTATAAATCCATTTCATTAATTTCAGTTTCCTTAGCCTTATATATCTCTTCTTTTGCAAGTTTGTCAAGTTTATGATTAGCATTTACCTCTGTTAAAATTTAAACTTCTTGTTTCTTATCATATACTTTAAAGGTTTGTGTTGGTATTAATCTAAATGCCATAGTTTCCAGTAGATTATTTTATTCTTCTTTGTTAGAGAATGATAGGATATTACCATCGTCATAGTTTATCTCCTCTTTTTCATAATCAATTCGATCAACTAAGGTAAAAAAATTGCTAGAGACATTTTATAGCTCTAAGCTAGCATCCTGCTTTTATTCTTCCTAATTTTGACTGCTGAATAAATTATCATCTGTTAAATCATCTGAATTCACTTCAATACTCAACTACTAATCCAGATTTTAACTTTACTTTTTTCTATGTTTTAAGACATTTTAATTATCCTATAGAACTTGATTAATTAGGGTTTATGTGCTATAATCCCACTCTTTTTTCACAACTGTTTTATTGCTTTAGATTTGTTTTTTAGAAATTTGTAAGAGTTTAAACTATCGACTTTAATCATACTTATTCGCAATTTTTAGAAGGTTTTCAGCTTATTATGACTCTTAATTTGATAAGATTTCTTCCTATTGATATAAATTTAAGTCATCAATACAAAGACTATTATCCATTAATTATATCTGACTTTGGTTTAGAGATTGAAATCTTTAACTATCTAAATTTCTTTAAAGTAAGGGAGAACGCGGTGTATTTCTTGCATAAGATTTGATTTAGGATTTTTATTGAAGCAATTATGGGGATTACATTTTCCTGAACTAAGATTTGCTGTATTTTATCTTATTGTGGATATTTTAAGACTTTCCACTATTCGGAGAGTAATTATCTAATGAAGACTAACTTGCATTTTTATTATTAAAACTGGAAATCATATTGCGATCATTCGAATTTAAACTTGTCGAGGACTCTTTATTATTCTCTTTGATTAATTCATAATTAGATAAATAAGTTCTTTGCTAATTTTTGTATCTGCTCTTTCTTTATTCTTATTCTTTTTAAAATTTTTTCTTCAAGTATTAATTTAATGGTATTTCATGTTGATTTCTATAACTTTTTTTATTATTTTATAATTGTTTGAGTCTTTTATTTCTAGCAATTGTAGAGCTAATCTCAAAGTTAATATCTTATTATGATTCTTCAGTCTACATGGTCTAGATTCTACTTTCATCATCTCTATAATATTCATAATAATGGGTGATGTCTTGATCATTATCTATTAGATTTTATTCTTTAAGCTTTAGGTAGTTCTATAGATCATCTCTTGAATCTTCATAATTATTTATATCTGGTTCTTTTTGCAAGAAGGACTTTCTATACTATTGAATTTTCATTGATGAATAATTAAGTCGTCTTTACCTTTTCTTTTCTTTTTCAAAAAGTTCTATTTCATAACTCTCGAGTTATTTAGTTTTAGCTATTTTTTCTACTTCTTCTTTACTAAATGAAATCATCAGTCTTTCTATGTTATTTTTGTTTAATTTAAGCTCACCTTTTCTAAATAAATTCTTTATAACTTTGAGTTAGCCATTTAATTATTAGTAGTAATTGACATTCTATTAATCAATATTATGTGTTTTTATCTCAGTCTCGAGCTTATTATGATTAAAGCATAGGCATAAAGCTAAATAGATTTTAGGAAATTTTTATCTAAACTTCGCTTTTCCCTCCTCATACATCTTGAACATCCAATATATGAAGAAGAACAAATTCGATATTAGTATCAAAGCAAAAAATAATCTTTATATGGCTGTTGATAATGATACTGAGCCTCTTGAATAATCAGGATTATTTTCAATCCATGTTTTAGGCTTATTTAAGATGAAGAATAGTCCACAGTATATTGTGATCATAGATGTTATTAGGGATAATGTTTCCAAATCATTAAGAACAAGTGTGTTAAAAGGCTGCTTTTTAAAGTTTATTAGTAAGAAAACAATCAGAGTAAAGAATACAATTAGGGCCTAGGCAATTATTCCAAAGTTACTGATAAAAACTGCTGTAAAAATAATGAGGATTTTCCTGTACATTATTACTATTTCCCAATAGTAATACTCTTTTCTATAACCTCTATAAAGGAATCCGTATCTCTATCTAATCTCAAAGTTGTCTAGTTTCTTTCTCTTTCTAATAAGAATAGTCAATGCAAAGAATGGTATTCCTAGTCCCCATACAATTATACAAGGAAGTGCCACAAAGAAACTGTAGAAAGAGTGCTCTGGAGACCAGCAAATTATTTCTAAATCATCTTGAACTCTTAATTGCCCATCAACTTCTTTACATTTGAAATCGTTGAATGAAAATGTGACTAAACTAGGATGTACCAAGAATAGCAAGATTACTAAACTAGACATTATTTTTCCTCCAATTTCAATTAAGTTTTTCATTATTTTTTTATAGATACTCCATATCAATGAGCAAGCAATTGTTAGCATGAAAGGTAATAGCGCTATGATAACTAATTTCTAGAAAAATATTCTTGACATTTTAGTACCTACATCATTATCAAAAATTATAATTTTTTACCTTTAGTCTCACCTCCAGTATCTAAGAAACAATCAAAGCTGAAAATCTAAGTTGATTATGTTGCAACCTATTTGGTTGTAGTAAAAAAGCCAACTATTTGCTCTGACCATTAGAAATCAAAAGAAGCTGTCATTAGAATTAATTAGAAATGATTCAGCAATATTTTAAGGTAAATGCTTGTAACATTATTTATATCCTAGGCACTTTTTAAAGTTGACCTTATCATTAGAACAACAAATATAATGACAGCTATGAATATCGTGATAAGTCTTAGTGTATTTAAAGCAGGCTCAGGACATATCGCACATTAGTATTCTTTATCTCTAGAGTAACCGCTAATGCAATCAGCACAAAGAATACCCTAATATCCTTATAAGCATTCTCCTTTTGGGTTGTTTTATGGTGAAATCATGCCCAAGCAAGCTTGCTCAAAAAGACATTAAGTGAAAACTATAGATTGATTACTACTTCTCCAAAATCCAGGCTGTGGACCTATTTCAGCACCGCCATTGCAAATTGCTTTTTCAGTAGGACATATTTCGCAAGTTCCTGGAGATGTCATTTTTACTAAAGAAAAACTTTGCTCACACTTCAAACACTTTCCAGCTGAAGTAAATTATTCTCCAATTTCACACTCCCTAAGTTCAATTTTTAGATTAAAATCTAGGTCTGAATTACCACTTTATTACATTCTGTCTTAATTAGACTATTTTGATAAATCAATACCATCTGTTGTAATGATAAATTTGTAAGAACTACCAGGATTACCAACAATTGAAATATCTTAAATCAATGCTATACCCCCAATAATATCGAAAGAAAGAGTGCCCTCAAGGATAGGTAAATATAGGCTTTACTTATTGTCTAAATTTTTCAAATCAACACTCACTCTGACTTTGCTCTTAAAATCTGATCCAACTATCTACCCATATTGATCTTTTAAAGCCATGTATAATTTTGGAATGGTACCTCCACTCCTTTAAGACTTTATTTCTTAAGTTGAAGGTTATTCATTTTATAATTGTCTAAGTTAGAAATCATCTTTACTATATAATCCAAGAAAAATCATTTAATTTTGATAATCCTAATATGTAACAGAATCTAAATTTTATGAAAAACATGCAATATTATTTCCATAATACATTGCATTGTTATTAATAAATTTTTCCTTTTTTGTGAAAATAGGTTCAAGTTAATCCCAAAAAATAGCACCTCCTTATAAATCAGCTGAATTATCTTAAAAAATATTTTTATCTTCTAATTTCATTTTACAATTTAATAATTAATTGTTACAAGTGTAATATATTGCTCCTCCTGAGCCTTTATTTTATATCTAAAATTGGCTTTGATTATCTATTATGGCTTTATTTTTAATAAAAGTAGAATTAATTATTTTAAGTGATTAAGGATTATCAGCGTTGATTGCACCACCAATCTCAGCTGTGCAGTTATGAAATTAAGAATTTTAAATTAAAAACTTTTCATCTGTTTATTAAAGAGTAGTTCCTTTGTTTATGTCAAGTTCTATTAAGTAAATTGCTCCACCTTGACTACTTTTTAAATTAATAAACTATGAGGACTTTATTTGAAGACCTTTGCAATAATTACAGAATAATCCAGCACCTCTCTTTGACTACTTATTTTGATTTATATCTTTAATAATCATATTTTCAGCATATAAAATAGCCTATTCAATATATATTGAATTTTTCGAGTTCAAGTTTGATAGAACTACATTATCGAGAGTTAATATGTTAAAGGAGTTTGTGATATATATATCTTCTCCATTATCAAGAGCAGAATTATTGATAAATTAAGTCCCTTATCCAATGAAGATACTCTTAAAACCTGAAGAATAGATTGCTCCGCCTTTTGAATTAGCTTGATTATTAATAAACATTGAATTTGTGATTCGAATGACACTATCTCCTGAAATATAGATAGAACCTCCTAAATTTGATACTCCATTTCTAAACTGACAATTATCAATATCCATAGTAACATCAAAAATCAAAAAAATAAATGAACCAATTGTTTCATCATTTAAAAAAGCAATACTATTAACCTGTTTACTCTGAAAAAGTGTATTATAAATAGTAATATTGACAAAGCCCAAAAGCAAATTTTTAGATCTTTATAAAGCAAAATTGTTTTTAAAAACTAGATCTTAAAAATATGCATTTGCATAGATCATTGAAATGGTATTCTTTTAAGAATAATTTTCCTCAAAATCACTGTCAATTATTGTAACATTCTCCCTAATTACTGTGTTAAGAATTTCAAGAACTGAATTTTCTTCAGCTTTATTTTTATAAAATGAACTACCTTTAATCTTTATGATTGACTAAGTTGAGATATATATTACACCAGCAGATTTAGTAGCCTAATTTTACTCGAATTTGCAATAAGAGATGCTTACATTTGAGTCTGATGAGGCATAAATTGCACCACCTGTTTAAGCTACATTACCAATGAATTATGATTGTTCCATGGATAATTTCGTATCTTATATATAAATAACTCCCCCATATTGCCCAGATATATCTTTGTAAATTGATTTATAATCTGTAAAACTAGTTTTCTAAAGTGAAAATAAGCCTCCTTAGGATGATTACCCACATTTTTAAAACATATTATTCCTCAGAGTTATGCTGACACTATTTTATAACTAAAACTGTCCTTTATTAGTACTCTAGAATTGCCAACCTGATAACTCTTATATTTCAGAAAATTAATTATAGTCTTTATCACAGATTATTGTAGATGAGGTAATTGCCAGTCTCATTAATAATGAAGAGGATGAAATAAATGCTCCAGTTACTGCTTTGAATTCTGTAAATTTTGAATTTTCTAAAGATATCATATCTGAGTCAATTACATAGAAAATTCCTCCCTCAAATTAAGATGAAATCTTAGTTAGCTCACTATTTTTAATTGTAATATTCGTCTGTGGATTGTTAATATAAGCAAAGCCTCCTTTTTGAGAGTATATATTTGATATATTTTTAGAATCTTAAATAGCTATTATAGAATAGTCAATATAGTTTTTCTGTTCATTATATAGAAATCCACCAAAAATTTTAGCTTTAATATTATAGGCAGTTATGTTTTTAAGATTAACTTTACTAAAGCCTGAAAAATAAAATGCACCACCTGATTACTCTGATTCAACATCATGAATAATTGAATTTTGCATTATCAAATTGCACTCTAGACATGAAACTATTGAGCCATACATACCTATATTAATGAATATTAAGTTAAATGTGTTTACCAGTCAAATTATAAAACTAAGACCCTTTATCTTGGTATTTGCAATTGCCTATCTTTACTATTGGTCCTTAATATGATTGCCTACAATTTCTAAATATACAGTTCTCAGTATACAAACCACTTGGACCTTCATAGTGAATGATTCCTTCATTTTCTGAAATATAGGTAGTAGGAATATATTATTAAATGTCTTGGTTAAGACAGTCAATCGTAGTGTCTTTAATTTTTACCTCGTTTGATACTCTATTGAAGCCATCATAAATATACAAAAACTAGGAATGAGTAATTGAGAAGAAATTAGAAAATTCTGTTCTTTAAAATTCTGGAAGTGAAATAATATGTAGGCTTCCTTAGAGTCCTATCATATAAATTACTCCCTAATAGCCAGCTCTTACATTTCTAACAGTTACTGATTCAATTTTGATCTAACTTAACAACCTGTCATATTGATAAATGAATCCCCCAGTTCCTACAACCATTGTTATGTTTTCAAATGTTGAATTTCTTATAGTAACTGTTCTAGCACCAATTAAATCACTGCCTGTACCTAATAATGAAAAAATGCCCCCTTCTAATCCTCCTACTTATGTGACGTTTTTAAATGTACAATTCTACACGAATAAATTTATAGTATATTAAGAATGTACTGCAGCATAACCATTTGTAACAAGACGAATCACTGTATTATTATAGAGGTAAGCTTTAATTTTATAGAAACTGTATATTCCTCCAGATAATCCCTCACAATCTTCATAGTAAGAGTTGATATCAACAAAGTTTACTTAAGCAGCATAATTAATCAGAAAATCTTAAATTTAAAAAATTATTAGAGCTTATGTCCTTGGAGTATGTAACCGTTGCATAATACAATTTTTCATAACTAATCCTTGAATAAAAAACTACCCAGCTCTTTTAATATGAAATGGCGTCATAATATCTCTGTTTGAATAAAAATTCTACCCAATGCTCTAAAAATCAAAATACAGAGATCTCTTAAAATTATTATTTGGTTCAGATTCTAGTCTTTGTTATATGTCATTTTCATTCTCAGATAAAGTTCTAAAATCTAATGTAGGAGGATTAGTGTATTCATCTTCAGGAGTTCTGCAATAAATCTAAGAAAAGCGAACAGTGACAGAATCTTTTACATAATCTACATACAAAAAACCAGAAATTGATCTAGAGTATATACTAGCCACATAGAAGTTAGTCATTTCAACTAAATTAGCACGCTTAATATAAATAGAGTTATAACTTTGACCATAAGAATTGGCCAGTTAGCATTGTGAAAAGTTAACATTAGTTTTTAAACTACTTACTGAGACAGAGCTAGCGTTGAATGCTTAAATCATAGAGAACTTAACATTTATAAAATCAAGTCTTAATGGCTAAAATGCAGGAACTTTTTCTGGATTCATATTAAATCCAACATTGTTAAACTCTTATTTCAATGGTTCTTCTTCAACTATGTAGAATATACATCCTCCCTCATTTTTTGCAAGAATCATATTGAAACTTGAATCCACGATTTAAACGTCTCCTTTAGGATTCTTTATATATATTCCACCTCCATTATCACTAGCTATACTTGTCGAAATATCGAGAAAATTGAGTTTTACTTCTTAGAGATTTTCCAAATACATTACACCTCCTTAATTTGATTACATCCTTTAAAAATAGGATCTGTAAACATATAATGTCCCTCCTAATATATTAATTGCACCACCATTTTGAGATTATTAATTACCAACAAAGAAACAATTAACGATAGAAACTGATGCAGTATTTATTAGAGTTATACCTCCTTAATTATAAAAATTCTCTTGATTAGGGTAAGAATTGATAGCTTATCTTTGAAACTATTAGAAAAAAGAGTTTGATAAATCCAATTTTAATCCAGCTTTTTAAGTATAAATTTAAGCCCCACTTGAAGATGAGTATGAGTCGAATAGCACTAAATTACTAATCTTGCTAAAATTAGCTTCGTTTATAAATAGAAATCCTCCTGCACCGAAAATTGATTCTATTGAAGTACCATAAGTCTCTGTAAGTTCAAATTACATTTCTTTAGAGTCAATATAAAAAGATCCCCCTTATAAGACACTTTAAGTATTTCTAATTGAGTTCCTTATGCCTAAAAATTTGGGATAATTACTTATTCCTAATTAATTTAAGCTAGTATCCTGTATTTCATCATTTTAAGCATAGAGAACAGCCCCAGCCCTAATAGCACTAGCATATAATACTCTTCCAAAGCTTAATTCAATTTGAGAAAATTTATCTTAATAAATCAGCCCACCATAGTTTGCTACACAATTTATTGCATTATAATTAGTGATTGTTGAATTTGCATTTTCGGAATACATTATTCCTCCTAGTTCAGCTCCAATATCTGAATAAGTAGAAAAATCATCAATCAAAGTAGCATTTTAAATATTGTAAATACCTCCTTTAGGAGCATAATAGCATGAGCTAAATATATTTGATTTACCTGAAAATTAAACTCCATTTAATATCATCAATAGACTTTAAGAATCAGCAGTTATAACAGGAATGAAAAAAGAATAGTCTTTAAAATATTGCCGATCAAAGTAATTCGGAGAGAGTGGAGAATATTAACATTGAAAATTACTATTTTCTATAGTTACTTATGTATTGCCTAGTACATAAAATGCATTAGATTAACTATAGTATAATTTCAATGTATCAACTTTTATGGAATTTATACCTTCTGCATATACTAAGGATCCTTTGCTAGCGAATAAATAAACTACTTATACTTCATTTTCTATGACTATATTTATCCTTTTGCCTTTTGCATAAATTAGCCCTCCATTAACGCCCTAGTTTTAAATTTAAGAATTGAAAACTTGAAAAGTAGAGTAATAAATATTGATATTAACCTCGTTCTAGCCATCCTCCACAAATATCAATGTTCCATTTTTTGTCACTTAAAGCATCTCTATCTGTGAATCCCCAATTTAAATAAAGCTATTTCCGATAACTTCGACTAAACCACCATTCTAAGCTAATGTCTAGGTTGCATATATTGAAATTAAATAGACTTAAGAATCCTCAAAATAGCCTAGGGCACCTCTTTAGGCTGCTAAATCTTGATATCTTGAATACTAATCCAAAATATATGATTACTTTGTTTGGAATATTGCTCCTTTTTCAGCAATTAGGCAATTCTTAATTAAGTTATTTTATGAGTTTATTGTTGCATATTCAGCATAAAATATACTTTATGATGTTTAAACTTAATCCAATGATAAAAGTAGAGCTGTTTATTGGATATCAAATGGTAATTAACTACAAGTTAATTCAATATAGTTTAAATATACCTAACACTTATTTAATGATTTAATACTTAAAATTTACCCAAGTGAAGTACTTTAAATCTAATTTATTTTCACCTAACTGAGTTCAATTGTTTCTGCAGCGTATGAAGTAAAAAAAGAAAAATTTGATTAAGTTATGAAATCAAGATTAATTTAATATATCCAGATATTTGCTTAGGGATTACTGCAAAATATAAGTGCTTTAGTTTCATTATCTTAATTATTTCCTAGGTTTAAATTTATATAACTGTTTGTTAAGCTAATTGAGGAGTAAAAATCTCCACTTAAGGTAATCAATCTCCCAAATGAAGTGGTATTAGAGTCAACTAATTCAATTTTATCTAACTAAATAAAGCCTTAATTTTAGATGCTAATAAAACTTGATCTAGATGTTCTATCAATCATTAATAGACTGTTGGTTATTCCTATTCTGCAGCTTATGCATGTAATTTAAACAGGGTTGATTGTTGTATTAGGATTAAAAGGCTAATTAGATTTCTTGTTAATTCCTCTTATTTAAGAATGGCTAATAGTAGATTAATCCCATATTCCTCCTCTTCCCAAATAAATTAAGGAATCATAATCAACTTAGTTAGTAGTGTCAAAATAGTCATATTCAAATTTACTTACTAATTATGCATCATATTGAAAATAAAACATATACCTCTGTTTTTCTTAAGTTTTTATAGTGAAATCAGAATTATTATTTTACGAAATCTAGTTTATCCAATCAATGTTAAATGAATCGAAGAATTAATACTAGTTACCAATAGACTGTACCATAAAAGATTAACTAAATGGATTTTGCTAAGTAATGTTTGAAGTATTGAAATATATCACAGTCCCTTAATCAGCATATATATCTCCAATTTAAGACTGAAATAATCTGATGTAGCCTGCATAATAATCTAATGGTTAAAAGAATATGACACCTCCTATCCCATTATTATAAATTTGATTTATCTATGAGTTTTGAATATCTAATTCGAGTAACTTTGTGGATACATAGAATATTCCTCCTTCTTGATTTCCTATTACCTTATTGATGAGAGTATTACTGCTGACTTGAATATTTATAGATTCTTGAGATTGAATTTAAAATGCAGCTCTCCCATATGTCTTAATATTTTAGATTAGAGTATTCTTAATTTTCAAGTATGTTTTTGGAGCTTAAATATTTAATATTCCTCCATCATTATCAGATTAAACATTATTTATAAATGAGTCTGTTATCTCTATATTTATACCCAATTAGACATTCGCAATAACTATACCCGCATTCTTTGAATTTTGAATTAAGCTAAATACACATTAAGTTGCATTTAAGTTTAAGAACATTCCACTATATATTTCAAAGATTGAACCATCTGATGAATTGAAATTAAGGTTTAAAAACTAGCTATTTTTTATGAGGATATTAGCTTCTTAATCAAAACTTGAAGCTACCTGTAATAATTTTAAATTTCTTAAAGTATCAGTTTAAATATTCTCAAATTAACTATTTTCAATGGCTAAATTAATGCTATCAACATTATCAATTCTTATCAAGCTACTTTATTAGTCTGGTTCATGAAACATGACACTTAAGAATTTTATATCTTAAAATTCAGAATTATTAAAGAGAATATCAGAACTATTTAAGGAAATCAAAGGTCTGCTGCAATCTATGCATTAAAGATTAACCACAGTAAAATTGTCAAAAATTGTATGAGATTATTCGAGCTTAAATTTAATTGGAATACCAAAGAAGCTTTCAATGCTATTCTAATAAGAATAAATGTCTAATTGGGTATTTTATCTTAAGGCTATGTTTTCTATACGCCAATTATTATAGCTCTAATTACTTAGCTGATATGTGTTAATACTTGCTTGAATAATATTCAGTAAACTACCATCTATTATATTTAGGTTTTAATTTTCAGTAGAGGCTATGTATTCTGATTAAAGATTTTGAATAGGTCCTCTCATTTATCTCAAGTTTATTGCATCAATCTATATTATACCAACTACCTCAGTAAGAAATAATGCTTAAGCTCTATTAATACTTGACTCTGGTTCTATAAAGTAATTAGAATCAAAGTTGATTGAATTTATTGACAAATATCTAGATCTCTATATTCTTATAAGTGAAGCAGCCAGATTTTAATCAATATCAATGCCATCTATGTTAATTTCTTTAGATGCATCCAAGGGCATATATTCTTGTAGCATATTTCGAGCAAGAATAGTTGATTTTTAAAAGAATGCATCAGTATTATTGATATATGTCTCATTTTATATTTTGATTTTCTTTACATTTATGATGTTTAATATTCCACTAGATTTTGAAGCTGTATTGTCAATATAGGTATTACCCTCTAAAGTCAAACTATAGTCTTCTAGCTCAAGGTTTTCTAGAGAAAGATTATTTGAAATAATTTCATCCTCTTGAATAATTGAATCCAATTAAATAAGACCGTTTGCATCTTCTTCCATTTAAAAATTCGTGCATTCAAAATGAATGGAGCCTCCAGAAATTCCTTGAAATCCAAAGTTTTTAATGAATTTATTATTCTTTATTTCATAGCCAAGGCATAATTCTTGCTTGCTGTCAAGTGTTTGAAAATAAACATCCTCAAGTTATAAACCTCTTGCTCGAATAAACAGCACATTACTTTAAATTATTCCAAAGTTATTGTAAAATCTATTTCCTTCAATTATTAATGCATTCTCTTCACTTCTTTGACTCATGTCAAGATATATAATACCTTTCGCGCCAGTATTCTAGTTGAAATCATTATTTTTTATCTCAATCTTGTAGTTCCCATGATTGACAATTGCTATCAATGATCTTAATTAAATAGAAGATTTAATTCCATAATTTTGTTATTAATCTCTTTCTTATTTCTAATTCTGAAGAATTTTTGTTGCCTGTTCATAGTCAAGATTTACTGCTAGATTGTTAATAAATTCAACTTATTAAATGAAGATTGGTCCTTAAAAGTTTTCTAAATCTAAATAAAGCCCCATATTTTTCATTTTCAACTATGGATTCACCCATTATGGTGTTTGAGAAAAAGCATTCATTCTACCAAAATCTTAAATAGTACCTCCTGATATGTTTAAACTAAAACATGGACTGGTAGAAGATGGACCACAAATATTTGAAAAAATACCATTGCTGGGAAGCTTGCTGCTCATCAATTCGAGAGATTTCAATAAATTATGGCTGAGGAAACCCTCCTCAAGAGAGTTGTAAATTTGATCGATTCTTTTGTTTCTAATGACACTCCCACATGAATTTATATTAATGAAACTAGTATTAATCAGAGTAATATGGCCTCCAAAGTCATTTAATTCTATTATAGTATTGAAATCATAGGCAAAGTTTTCAAAACCAACATTCTAAAATACATTAGAGTTTAAAACTATCATACCTAAAGAATAAGAGTCTAAGGAGAACCTAGAGATGTTTAACTGCTAATATCAAACTAAATTAGTGAACCACCAATTGGTAAATGACACTAATCATTTCTATAATGTATGATTAAATACTTTTAAACTTACGGTTATAATTAGAGCTAGCAGAAATCAGGTCCAGTTGTTACATAATTACCGCTAGTTTAATCCTTTGAAATACTGCAACAATTGATTAATGGATCTTTCAAGCAAGTGTATTCATTTGAACTTAAATGTGAAATATTAAGGCTGGTAAATCTGGAATCTAAAATTGAGTCAGTAGCATCAAACACTATATTTCTAATTTCTAACCCTCCACCAACTAGGAAATTAAACTTATCTCTGAGCTTGTATAGAACTTTAACTTACGTTCCATCCATTGTATCAATTTTGATTATAGTTGATTAGGAATTCTAATCATAGGCTCTAGGTAAATTAACAGCATCATCATATCGAAGCATAGAATGGAATTTTCCTGGTACAAGAATTATATTTACAATTGCATTCTCGTAGCTTGCTCCATATTCATATGCTTTAGTTATTGCACTTTGAATTGAATAAAACGGATCATTAAGACTTAAGCCAGTTGTTTCATCAGTTGATTTCTTGACTGAATCACTGTCAACATATATTGTAATATTGGAAGTTCCTGATTTTTTTAGACATTTACCTGTTGTAACATAATTTGACTCAGTGGATAGGTAATAACCCTTTTTGCAAGAAATGCATTATTTTTGAGTGGCACACTCAAAGCAATTATCATCACAATCTTTGCAGACAGAGGCATCAATCATACCTCTGTCATTGAACGCTGTGTATCCATATCTTCCTATACCGCAATTTTCTGTGCATTTATTAGTTAGAGGATCAACAAAGCCATTTAAACAAGCCGTTATTTTATCCTATTTAGGCATATCTATTTAGCTATCAATAGTAAAATTGCATCTTATTGGGTATGGAATAAATTAACTCTCCAACCCAAGAGAATCATTGTTACATTCTAATTAAGAATTGATTAAAATTTTTAATTAAAAGTAGGAGTAATTGATAAAGTTATAAAAATTTGTATTTTGCTTACAAACGCATTTTTAATTTCCAGTGGTATCAATAAATAGGTCATATCCGTAGTTACAAGTTTTGCAATTATTTTCACTAAAAGCATCAAGGCAGAGGCTACTTTAAGATGCTATAAATAGTCCATTATAACTTTTTTAGATTTACATTATAGACATATATCTTGATAAGTTTTTGTTGTTTCATTGTATAGTGATTCCTTAGCTAAATAGTATCCATCTTTGCATTTAATACAATTTTATTATTTCTCATAGTCAAATATCAGACAATTAATATCTGAACTATATTCAGATTCAGACTATGGATCTATTGAAGTTTTACAGAAATTATCTTACCGCAAGGATTTATTGTGTCTCCAGTCAATAATGATTTCTAATTCACAGGGTAGTTACACTGCTTGCATTAAGTTATATCATTTTTGGAGCATTTTCCACATTCAAATCCTGTTTTGCATTCTATATTTAGGTTAGAAAATGAACCCTAGTTGATATACCTTGACAAGTTTGAAATTCGCTCTGCAAAGAATAATCTAAATTTTCTTCATGAATTGCTGTGGTCCACCCTTTTAGTTATTCCTCTCCAGGGCAGATCTCACAGCCAACATTTTGATTGCAAGATTAGCAATTGTCTCCACACCCTAAATAGTAAATATTAATTTTAAATTTATACATAGACACTCAGATTCTAACTTAGAAATTTTTCCATTGATGTAGGATTAATGAGTACTCTTGCAGTTTGGTGTGCAAAGACTTTAATCTTTGTTATTACCATGACTTTTAAGAAGGAACAATCCATCAATACAATCGAAGCATTTTACAGTGCTTTCACCTTAATCTGTTTAAAATGATTAGCATCTAAGGCACCCAAATACAATATTTTGACATTCTAAAAAATAGATATTTATTGGAAAAAAGATGCTTTTAGATTTTTACTTTCACAAGTGTTTGAGATTTAATTAAGATACTCATCATCTCAACCTAGGTTTTATCAATAAATTGCGAATTTACATTATTGGCTGAGATTCTAACCTACTATTAAAGTAGTTAAAACAATGCTGATTTCTAAGAATTTTGCTTTTATCATTTATAAATTAATAATTAACAACCTAGTCACCTATCAATTTCAAATATATCTCATATTTATTGATATATCAATTTAAGTTCCTTACCGATTTAGTGATTATGATATGATTGGGGTTTTGGGGTTTTGGGG